CTACTTTTCTTGTCCGCCAATCACCGCGTCACTAAACAAGGATAGAGACTCGGGTGAAAGCATCTATCCTCGTCCGAAGTTTGACCATTCTTTCTGCACAGAAAAGATACGGGACGCGCAGTCTATTTCTTATATGTCTATGGTTCTAAGTAATGGCCGCCATTTTTGTAATACTTTGACACTTTTTTTGCCATTTTTATAAATAATTAAAAAACACAGTTTAGCAAATCAAGAAGAATACAACGGCGATTTGTATACAAACATATTTGCGTTTACAAAAATGGCGGCCACTACTTAGGCCTGTTCTATAATACAGTCGTAAGCTGTAAGTCGAAAGAAATTGACCAATCACAATCAATTATTCTTCTGTAATTTGTCTGTGATTGGTCAATTTCTTACGACTTACGGCTTACGATTGTATTGTAGAACAGGCCTCAACAGTTGAAACAGCGCTTGAGCGCTGGTGCTAAAGGGTCGTCTACAATGGAGAGTTTTAGACTGTAACAGTAAGAAATTGACAAATCACAATCGATTATTCTTCTGTACTTCGTCTGTGATTGGTCAATTTCTTACTATTACGGCCTACAACTCTCCATTGTAGACGGCTCTTTATATATATGGTACTACACGATCACGGATATTTATTTGTTTAGTGTCCCTTGGCAGGATGAACTTACAACACAAGTCCACGTGCCACTCTACGTACTAGTGTTACTAGGTCTAAAACCGTAGTTTGGGTACTCAACACCAAGTCACGGAGTTATACGTTCGTTAAAATTACTAATAAATTGAAAAAATCGGTGTAAAAACACTGATTCAAGTCCAAAAATATTCAAGCATAACTACGCACATCCAGCCAGCACGGCTGACGCAACCGCATTTTTTGTGCAAATTGAGCACTATTTTTACCATGGACTATATTGATACAAGCTACACGTTAATACGTGCAGTTCGTGAAGGAAACCTAGAGAGAGCAAGGGAGATACTTACTTATTTTGGACTATCTTATTCACAAGCATGGAAAGAAGGATATGTTTTACTTTGTGATGCTATTGAGAATAGGCATACAGAAGTTATTATACTACTTTTAACAAACGGTTCTAAAGTTAACATCAACACTGACGAATCTGATAATAACGATCATGATACTCCACTTCATTTAGCTGTTATAAATGGTGACATAAAAATTGTTAAGATGCTTCTAGACAGAAGTGCTAAAATTAATGCTGAAGATCAGTTTGGCAGAACTCCGCTTCATGATGCAATTGAAAATAAGGAAATAGAAATTGCTGAATTACTTTTAAATCATGGAGCTAACGTTAATGCTAGTGACAGTTTAGGTACACCTTTATATTGCACCTGAGAAAATATATATATAAATTTTTGAATATTTTTTTAAACATGGAGTTTATGTTAATTTTACATATATATCTACATTTACACCAGGTGTTACACCACTGTGTCTCGCTGTTCAACAAGGACATGTAGATGGTGTTAAGATGCTGTTGGACAGAGGTGCTAACGTTAATCCTCAAAATCAGTGGTCTGGCACAACTCCACTTCACGATGCGATTAAACATAAGAAAATGGAAATTGCTGAATTACTATTAAATCATGGAGCTAACATTAGTGCTAGTGATAAGTCAAGTATAACTCTATATTGCACTTGAGAAATTATATATATAAATTTTTGAATATTTTTTAAAACATGGAGTTTATGTTAATTTTACATATATATCTACATGTACACCAGGTGTTACACCACTGTGTCTCGCTGTTCAACAAGGAAATGTAGATGGTGTTAAGATGCTGTTGGACAGAGGTGCTAACGTTAATTTTCAAAATCAGTGGTCTGGCACAACTCCGCTTCACGATGCAATGGAAAATAAGGAAATAGAAATTGCTGAATTACTTTTAAATCATGGAGCTAACGTTACCGCCAGTGGCAAACACGGTATAACTCCTCTTCTCTTTGCAGCTGAAAAGAGATATTGACAGATTGAGGAACATTTTTTACAACAAAGAGTTTATGTTAGTTCTACATATATCTCTTCTTTTACTCCAGGTGTTACACCACTGTGTCTTGCTATTCGAAGAGAACATGTAGATGGTGTTAAGATGCTGTTGGACAGAGGTGCTAACGTTAATGCTCACAATCAGTGGTCTGGCACAACTCCGCTTCACGATGCAATTAAACATAAGAAAATGGAAATTGCTGAATTACTTTTAAATCATGGAGCTAACATTAATGTTACTGGGTCAGGTATAACTTTATATTGCAGCTGAGAAAATATATTTACAGATTGATGAACATCTTTTAGAACATTTAGTTTAATTGGAGAGTTAATTCTACATACATCTCTTCTTTTTCAGTTATTTCACCAAAGTATTATGCTGGTCTACAAAGACGTATGGATAGAGAAAAAAAGAAGATTTTTGACAGAGGTGCTAATGTTAATGCTGAATTTCTGGATGGCACAACTCCGCTTCGTTATGTGATGTCATATGAGGAAACGAAAAGTGATGTCTTACTACAAGATATTATTAATAGATCTAATGTTAATTCCATTTATGAGTCAGGTATAATTTTATATTGCAGCTGAGAAAAGATATTTACAGATTGATGAACATCTTTTAGAACATGGAGTTTAATTGGAGAGTTAATTCTACATATATCTCTTTTTTTTAAGGTTTTACACCACTGTGTCTCGCTATTCAAATAAGACATGTAAGTGGTGTTCAGATGCTTTTGGACAGAGGTGCTAACGTTAATGCTAAAACTCGGAAAGGCGTAACTCCGCTTCACTATGCGATTAATTATAAGAATATGGAAATTGCTGAATTACTATTAAATCATGGAGCTAACATTAATGCCAGTTATAATTCAGGTATAATTTTAAAGTGCAGCTGAGAAAAGATATTTACAGATTGAGAAACATCTTTTAAAACATGGAGTTTTATGTTAAAGCGACATATATCTCTTCCTTTACACCAGGTGTTACACCACTGTCTCTTGCTGTTGGAAAAAAAAATGTTGAAGTTGTTGCGATGTTGTTAGACAGAGGTGCTGACGTTAATACTGAAACTTGGGATGGCATAACTCCGCTTCACGCTGCGATGAAAAATAAGGAAATGGAAATTGCTGAATTACTTTTAAATCATGGAGCTAAAGTTAACAGTGATAACTCAGGTATAACTTTAAATTGCAGCTGAGGAAGGATATTGACAGATTGATGAACATTTTTTAAAACATGGAGTTTATGTTAATTTTACATATATAAATCTATATTTACACCAGATGTTACACCACTGTGTCTTGCTGTTCAACAAGGACATGTAGATGGTGTTAAGATGCTGTTGGACAGAGGTGCTAACGTTAATGCTAAAACTCGGGAAGGCGTAACTCCGCTTCACTATGCGATTAAACATAAGAAAATGGAAATTGCTGAATTACTATTAAATCATGGAGCTAACGTTAATGCCAGTGATACAGACGGTATACTTTTATATTGCAGCTGAGAAAAGATATTTACAGATTGATGAACATCTTTTAGTATTAAGTTTAATTGGAGAGTTAATTCTACATACATCTCTTCTTTTTCAGGTGATACACCACTGAGTCTCGCTGTTCAAATAAGACATGTAAGTGGTGTTCAAATGCTTTTGGACAGAGGTGCTAACGTTAATACTGAAACTAGTTATGGCACAACTCCGCTTCACGCTGCGATGAAAAATAAGGAAATAGAAATTGCTGAAATACTTTTAAATCATGGAGCTAACGTTAACGCCAGTAATAAGTCAGGTATAACTTTAAATTGCAGCTGAGGAAGGATATTGACAGATTGATGAACATTTTTTACAACAAAGAGTTTATATTAGTTCTACATATATCTCTTTCTTTACTCCAGGTGTTACACCACTATATTTTGCTATTCAAAGAGAACATGTAGATGGTGTTAAGATGCTGTTGGACAGAGGTGCTAACGTTAATGCTCAAAATCGGTGTTTTCGCACAATTCTGCTTCACGATGCGATTAAACATAAGAAAATGGAAATTGCTGAATTACTATTAAATCATGGAGCTGACATTAATGCTAGTGATGATTCAGGTATAACTTTATATTGCAGCGGAGAAAATATATTTACAGATTGATGAACATCTGTTAGAACATTAAGTTTA